TCAAGGAACATGGAGATTTGAAACAGAAGTAGTTATATTCCAAAGATGACCACAAAAAAAAAAAAAAAACGATGACCACAAAGAGTAGTTAAAAACTTGTATCATTGACTTCAAAAGTGAAAAACAAAGTTCAATGTCATAATTTATAAAATATATGTATTGTAGTGTGCCCAATGATAACTCTTACTACATCCAGTCAGTGACACACAGGTCAGTGTAAGTCCTCTCACTTTAATAAAACTTGCAGACAACTGCAATCCTATACTGCAATCTTTTCATTACAAAACTTCTTAAACTGGTTAGATTTGGTTTATTATATATCACTTGTAAACTCTCAACTGCAAGTTACTGCCAAAAACCCAACATTTGAACTTGCTTTTTCTGTTTCATGATTCTAAATCATTACCCCATAAAATATTTATTAACAAATACTTGTAAATGATTCTTTAAATATAAGCATGTAGTAGGTGTCTAGAGTATCTGACTGGCACCCCACTCCTTTAAATAAAAACTCATTTGCAAGAAACAATCAGTTGATTCCCCTCAGGGAATCCCCCTCAGGGATTTTATTGGTTGCTTCCACTGTCGCTTTCCATAGGAATTCTCACAGTGGCTCTCCGCCTATGCTTTGTATGGCCTTGTGGGTTCTTTGAAGACAGGAATTGCTCCAGCTTAGTCAGTTGGCATTCCATGATGTTCAGATTGACCAGTATTCGTTTGTGCAAGGCTAGTGTTCGTGGAAAATTATTCATCATATCTTGGTTGTAGCTGTTCCCAGGGAAACTCAGACCAGTGTTCCTATATGACCAAAAGGAATTTGCTCTCAGCAGTGTAGGAGATGTTGGGTTGGATGGTCTTTCATGATCAGGTATCTGTAAAAGAAAGTACAATTCTGTGGTATTTTGGAGCCCAGAACTCTTCAAATCATAATTAGGTTATATAACTAAGTCCCCCCCAAAAAGTTATATATTGGAATGTGTTGAAGGGTAACATTGACTAATATGTATGTTTTGCATAAGCACAGACTGAGGTAGAGAAAGCTGCAATGAAAGAAATGTAGGAAGAAAAGAGGTTGATTCTTACAATGGAAGCATGATTTTAAGTCTAGAGATACACATTGAACTGATTTTTGTACATGGCCAAGGATAGGGAATACACTCCAAGATTAAAAGTAAAGGGAGAGACTTTCAGAACAGGATTCTGATTTCACAAGAAACAGTCTCATCAATATTTGAAACAATATTAATTTAAAATGTTTCTACACAAAAGGGAAACTATCACTAAATAGAAAACCGACAAAATATGAGGAAACCATAAACATGTTTTGTGCAGGCAAAGATTCAAGAGAAATCATGGTGGTTACTTGGAAAGCCTTCTTGCCTTAGGAAGTTCAACAGTAGCCTTGGCACGAGTCATTGATGCTATTGTAAAACCACTTTACTTATGACTTTAAACCAACACCAGGGAACTCACACTTAGGATATCATTAGAAAAGTGAAAGAAGACAAGCTGATGGTGGGGAAAGCGCCCTTTCAGCTCTCCTGTTCTCTCATGGTAAGGGAGAGGTTTTCTAGAAAGCCAACTATAACATTCATGACATATTATCTGTCTTCTAACTAACTGCAGCTATTGAGTACAGTGCTAAAAGCTTGGGAAGCTCATGCGGCAGAGGCGTCAAATGTCGGGGCTCTGTGGAGACATTTGATGTCCTTCCCTGAATTCTTTTCCTCTTTTCTATCCATGTATCGAGTTACTTTAATGTTAGGGCAGGCTCCTTCTGCATACAGCTTACCTGAAATACTACCTTGAATATGGAAAAGATGGACGCAAAAATGATGCTGCCGACAAGGATGAATAGAATGTTCATGGCTGCTCTCTTGTGTTGTATTTAGAAAGTAGGAAACAGGTGTTGGGGAGCAGCGGCTGGC